AAATAAAAATGGAAATTTTAATTCTATTAGATTTCGGCTTTCTGCCTTTCTCTTCTATAAGATGTTGTCTATAGTTATAATATATAATTTACTTTTTAATTTTAATTTCATCTTCATCTTCTTTTGGTTTTTTGTTCTACTTGTTTTCATGCTCTTTTACTTTCTCTAAATAATTCACTATCCTCTGCCTCAGTTGACTCGACTTTTACTTACTTAATAATTGTATTTTGTTCACATTTACATTACACAAATACATGAAGAGATTTCTATATAAGTTACACCTCGATTAATTACGTCCACATATCAAGTGCTGCACTCCTAAGTAGTTGTGGATTCTCATGGGTACATCTAGATGTATTTTATGTTAATAATTTTTATATTCTTCTTAGAGTTTCCTTTTGGTTTGTGTTGCTTTATCACTATGTTTTACCTATGTGCACATTTTCTAATTTTGCCTTTTGACTCGTGTTTACATTTAGCTATTTCGAAGGTATTTCTGTGTTTTCATTTGAAGTTGTTTTTATATATTTTTTGTTTATTTTTTATTTTTATATCTATATAGTTTTTGACGATCATATTAAAATTGTAAGTTTTAGTTTACGATTTCATTTTGTTTTGGTTCTTTTGCTCAATGGTTAAACTTAACAAACTTTTGGAGTTAACTTATTCAAGTAAGTGGGACCGAACTCATTCGCCGCATCTGTTAAACCGGATCTTAAATTAGGCACATCTAATAAATTAGTTAGTTAAGTACTCGTGTCGAGTATCTAATGCTTCAAGGTGGTGTCTTCTCAGCTCAATGACAACACGTCCGAAGATAGTAGCGAATCAGCTTAAATAGTTTGGATCTCAGTCAATAGAAAGATTTAGCTCGAAATCTTCTTCCTCTGGTTACAAACACCAACTATGCGGGTGGAATCGAAAGGTTTATGTGAATTCTTTGCCCTATCAACATACAGAAAACCTTTGACCTTAGCATCAACTCTATTCAAACTCCGACTTCTGCTGCTATATATGTATGTCTACCATATATGTGTGTAGCTACGACTATAACTAGAGCTGCCTTAGCGCCCCACGACTGCGAGCATGTAGACACAAAATAACACACACACATATATATATGTATATCAGTTAAATAATTTTTTGTTTCTTGATTGAATTAGTTGTACATTTAATGTTTATTTAGCTATTGCACATTTGGCTTTATTGCTGTTGCTGTTGCTGTTGTTGTTGCTGTTGCTCTTTAAACTTAAACTACGTTTGCCTTCATTTTGCAGCTGATGGCATTTATTTCTATTTTCTGTTTTTCGTTTCTATATTTATACTAGATTTATTTAATATGCTTTGCTTGAATTCTGAATATCTGATGTGATAATCCTCGATCGGTTTCCCTTCTGTTTGCTATTCAAACGTGTCCTCTTTAATGTACTGGCTACTGGTTCACTTTTCGCTATGCTAATTTCGCTAATATGTCGACGCGGGTAATGAAATAAAACTTGCCGTTGCTCATTCACTCGAATCTTAATCTTTGTACAGTTCGGGCATGCCATAGACTGGATTCACTTGGCTCGCAGGTGGTTGTTGCTGCTGAAGCTGTAGCTGCTGCTCGCTGCTGGGCATCTGCTGGGCCACCCACTGTGGCTGCGCGTAGTGCAACTGTGGTGCGTACTGGGTCGTCGGTTGTTGTTGGTGGAATTGCTGCTGCTGCTGCKGTGGCTGCAATTCGTAGGTCTGTTGCTGGTGGTGGAGTGGTTGCACATGGTGGTGCTGTGGTTGCTGTTGTAGCTGGAAACGCGGCTCCTTCACATAATCGCCGCACGGTGGCTGCTCCTGTTGTTGCTGCTGCTGCTGCTGGTGCAGCTGCTGCTGTTGTTGCTGCTGCTGGTGCTGCTGGTGCTGCTGCTGCTGCTGCTGTGTGGGATACATGGCCACCGCTCATGGCAGCTACACTAGCAAACTGGGTGCCAGCCACTCGTCCTCTGCCAGCTGAAAGTGCCACAAGCTAAGTATCGAGCATACGCCGTAATGCTGGCCTGCTAACTTACCTGCGGACTGACCTGAAACTGTTGCATGGGATAGGCAACAACACCAGCCGCCTGGGGCAGAGCCCCGCCCACGCTCTGCGTGATCTGTGGCGCTGCAGCGGCCGCTGCGCTGGTCAGCTGCGCCTGCGGCGGCACACTCTGCCAAGTGCCCGGCAGCTGAACGCCCATGCTATTTTGGGGGTTGAGATGTGAGAGTAGCGTTATACCTTTGCCTCGGCTTGCTTCTTCATATTCAATTAACAAGATTCGCTTACCCCATGTAGCTGGCCTGCTGATAGCCCGCGAATTGACCGTAGGTGAAGCCCTGCATGCCCTGCAGGAACTGGCCCGGCTGCAGGGCGCTGGCCGGTGCTGCAGTGGGATATGTGGGTGCCGGTGGATACCAATAGCCGGCCACTTGCTGCCCATAGGCGGCAGCTGCTGCGGCTGCGGCGGCCGCCGAGCCGAACGGAAAGCCTTGCGCCAGCGCCTGGCCGGCGATTGCGGACATGTGATTCGGATCGCCGCTCTCCTTGCCCCACGCGCACTTCACCGGCTGCTGGTTGATCTCCGTATTATTGACGGCCACGATGGCGTGTGTGGCGGCTTCTTTTGTCGAGAATCTGAGGGCGCAATTTAGTGTGCGTGAGTGTGTGGGTGTGGTTGTGGTAGCAGAGTGTAAAGTTAGAGTAAGCTAATTTTCTAGGGGGAGCTGGCAGCAGATTGACCTGCTTAAATTTCCATTTAACCTGCTGCAGCAGCAGCAGCAGCAGCAGCAGCAACTTCGACAACAAGTTGTGTTTGTCAGAACAAAGCGTAAAAGTGGTACAAGCGTCTGTGGAATTGTTCTTGTGCTTGTTGTACTCGTAGTGGCTGCTAGTTGAGAGTCGATTCTGTTCTTGTTGTTGCTGTTGTTGTTGCTGCTGCTGCTGCTGCGGCTGCTGTTGTTGTGGCTGAGTTTGAGTATAACTGGTGCAACTGCGCAAGCAGCGGCTACGGCAGAGACCACTTGTAGTCCCCAAGCTCATTATGTTACAAAGCGCCAAACAATGCCAATGCGGCTCATTCGCTCTCTTTTTCCCCCTGCCGCCGCGCCACATTGCCGGCTGTTCTACATGACCCGTTAGCCCTCTCTCTCTCTCTCTCTCTCTCTCTCCCCCCTTTACATACCACAGAAATGAGTTTTGGACAGAGCACAAAAGGCGCACATGAACCTGGCCAGCAGCAGCAGTAGCAGTGCATTGCCCCGCCCCCTTTGGCTGCTGGGCTTTTCGGGGCGCCCTTAAGCCCCAGCACTCGCCTGGTGGCCCAATGGTGCGCCATTAAAACCCTATCAGCATTCGCGGCGGCAGCTGCGATCTGCCCGCAGCTCAGATGCATTCCCTCGACTCGTGTTCCTCGATTTTGACTACTTTGTGGGCGGATGGGTGGGGAGTGGGCTACATGCTATTTTTTTTTAAAGAATATTTTCCACCTTTTTTTTCTTCTTTTGCATGGGCATCGAAGTTGCTGCTGTTATTGCGTTTCATTGTTTAGCTGGCTCAAAATTGAGCTGATTGTTGTTGTTGTTGCTGTTGCTGTTGTTAATGCTGCTGCTGAGTGCAAAGTGTAGTTGATTTATTAACGGGGCTGTAGCGCACCGCCGTGCATTCAATTGCAACGACAACGACAGTAGAAAAAGAGAGGGACAGAGAGAGAGAGAGAGAGGGAGACCGGGGCAGGGGACTAGTTGCCGAAAACGAAATCAAAATGGCGCTAAACAATGAGTGAATGTGGCACAGGCGTCCGCTGCTCGCCATTGTTGCTCCCCAACCAACAAACTCTGCGCCTCTTTAGACAAAGACATTGCGAACATTGCGTATACGCAATGGGTGACTGGGTCTACTTACCGCACAAATGCGTAGCCTTTGTCCTTGAACACGCGTATCTCCTGGATGGTGCCGTACGGCGAGAATGTCTTCTGCAATATCTCCTCGTTTAGGAAGCCAGAGAGGGCGCCGTTGATGCCGCCACAATACACGGTGCAGTTGGTGGGGCTGCTCTGGTTGTATACCTCGTCAAAGGTCAAAGGCTTCACGTTGACTGCGAGTAGGTAAATCACACATACATACAAGAATATTATTTTGGGAATGTGTCTGTGTGCACTTACTGTCTGCCTTGGTGGCCGGCGGTTTTCGTGTTGCCCAATTTGTGCGTATGGAACGCGAGCCTAGCCACTGGCCGTTCATGGCATTGATGGCGGTTTCCGCTTCCTGCAAAGTGCCAAATTAAATGGAAAGCAATTAGCTAAAAGCTGAGCGCTATTTGCCACAGTTTGTCTAGCCGCTTAAGCCGCTTACAGCCAGAGCTGCCGGCCAGAGCAGCCAGCAGCAGCCAGCAGCAGGCTCCAAGTAAAAACATCAACAAACAGCTCAGAAAGTGTTGAAGAAAAAACAATTGCGTTCGTCGAAAAGTTGCTCCTTGTTGCCAGCGACATTGTTGCTTGGCCACCGTTCGACTCAGGCTTCCTCTCGCTAATCCAGCCACCAGCCACCCCAGCCTTCCCCCCGTTGGCCTTCGGCGGGCGCCGCATGCACAAATTATAATTTCAATTTGGCGAAAAAGGTATTTCGTGCGTATCAAACGTGATTCATATGAAAATGATTGCAGCCAGCTGCAACTCTTGCATGCAGCTGCTTAACTGTGTGTGTGTGTGTGTGTTAGTTGGGCGTTACAGAGCAATTTTCGTTGCCGCATACTGAAAGACCAAGTCGCAATCGAGCTACATTGCCATTATGAAGTTTGTTGGCATTTGGCGGTGCACGTTTCGTGCCGTGCGGCGGTGGTGCAACACGGACTGTGTAACCAGGCACCGGCCGCCGATGGTTCTCTTAAGCTTTTTCTACTTTTAACTTTCCAGGTACGTGCCATGCTCGAAATCAGGCACAAAAAGATATTGAAAGTGTCGCCCGACGCTATGCTCTGTAAAAGCAAATTTGAAGGAAATCTTTAATGAGCTTTTATCTGAGAAAGATCTGAGAATCGAATCGAAATTATATTGAACTAAAAAAATATATTTATACAACATTTTAAAATATGGAAATTAATGGACAATATATCAAAATCTCACACTCTATTTGATATCTAAAGAGAGCTCAGTAAAAGAATAGGAAAAATTAAATATATTGAGCACATTGAACTGAATGAAAAGGAGACCTGACATATAAATTCATTATAAATTGCAATTAATTAAAAAAAAAAAAATATATTTATAACTGAAGAAGGAATAGATTATGGAATGGAAAGTAAAGCACTGGAAAACATAGAAAAATAAAAGATTTTACAATATATACTTAATAAAATAATTGTTACAGAGCAGTTTTTCAATCATATTCTATTCTCTATCTGAGAGAGTAGATGAGTTAAAATTTAATTTAAATTATATATTTATATATAATAAGCTTATAGCTTCACTGAAAGTTCATTGAATAGTATTTTCGTCTGTCTAAGGTATATTTGCTTTATTTCTTTGATTTATTTGCTTTATAAAAAGTGAGTTAATCAGATTAGTATATATTTAAAGGCGAGATAGCTTAGCATTTCATTGCAATATATGTATATGTATTCAAGAGTATTTCCTAGTCTATCCATGTGCCTCGACTCTTTGGTAATTTTTTGCTTTAATTTAACCACTTGAACAGAAGTCAACAATTGAGTGGCTGCCCCCAGCGATAAACCAAGCAACTGTCGCGCAACTTTGTCCATAATTTAAACTGAGTGAGTGTATGTGTGTGACTGTGTGTGTGTGTGTGTGTGTGCGTGTGCTTGCCTCGGTTAAGTCACGCAGTTTGCGTGCGTGCGCATTTTTATGCATTGCCAGTTGCATTTTTCATATTTGCATAAACTATAAATTTTACATTTTTTAACCGATACGCATCGTTGATTGCGACACTGCAGCAGCAACAGCCAGGACAGCCAGGACATCCAGTACGGTCAGGACAACAATCAGGACAGCACCGGCCCAGCAGGGCTGGCAAACAATGCGACGGCCCGCTGCACCGTCTCCGACCCCGTTCAACCGAAGCTATTTAAATATTTTACATTTATTTATCAGCCGTGGCACTGAGGCGACTGCAACTTTAAACAGCCACATGCAATATTTAATTTACTGCCAGCAACCAGTTGTTGTTGTCGTTGTTGCTGTTGTTGTCGTTGTTGTGGCTCCCCATTTGGCATGGCTTCATTTGACAGGCGGTCTTCAAGTGCAGTCGCTGTAACAAATGCAGTTTGCAGCTTTTTGCTGTTGTTTCTGCTTCTGTTTCTGTTTCTGTTGCTGATTCCTTTTCCGATTTCGATTCTGTTTCAGTTGCTGCTTCATTTTCTGTTTCTTTGGCTTTGCCAATTGCAATTGCAATTCCATGTGTCAACGGAAATTGTCTTAACAAACGGTCAGCTTAGCTGCTGGCTCGAACTTTGGCAGCAGCCAGCTGATGGCCACGGCTAATGCAATGCCACCGACAGAGTGAACTTTGGCCAAAACTTGCCTCTGCTGCTGGGCAACTTGTTGTTGTTGTTGTTGCTGTTGTTTGAACAGCCTGGCAAAAAGTTTATCAATCATTTTGGTGGTAAATTGCTCAGAAAACATTTGGTGAACATGAACTGCAAGGCGTGAACTGAAGTGCATCTTCTCGAGACTTGTTTAAGACTCAGGCAGCAAATTTGCTGCCATGATATTTATGAGTCAGCCATGAGCGTAAATACGCTTTTAACTGCTCCATTGCCTGTCATAAGTTTGCATTTACGGTGCACAGTGCGAGGACCTTTAAATAATTTGCCAATTCATCTGGTGTGCAAGTGTTGGTTGAGTGCCGCAACCTGACACCCGATTGCCTGGCCTCAACTTGCCAAAACTATTTATGAAACTTCCATTTAGAGTACAAACATACACACACACACACACTCAGAGAGAGAGAGAGAGAGAGCTCGAAAAAAGCATGAACAAGAGCAAAACCGCTTCAAAAAATGTGTAAAACTAATTGCAAAGTTTCCGGACAAAAACATGGGGAAAATAACAAACGGAATGAACAGAATATTTTGGTTCTATCAAGACAATTGCTTTTCGGATCATTGGCATTGCCACTGCCATTGGAGTTTTAGGCAATCTTTGTGGTATGGCTGAGATGTCGAGATGTGGCATTGCCATTGCTGTAGCATCCGTTCTGGGTAGACAAAATTAATTAATTGTGTATGGAAAATTTGCAGCTAATAGCGAAGAAAACTTCAGACATGTTTGCCTGCTTGCGGTTGCGACAACTAGCACAGCCAGAGCCAGAAACAATAACTGGAATGCAGACATTTGAATTGAACATACGACTAGGAGATACCCTGTATAATGTGTGATAAACATAGCTCTAAGAAATTGGAATGACCAACTAGATATATTTCTCTATAGGCATATATTTTACCTATAACAAATTAATGTATTTCAATTGAGTGAATTGAGGCAGCTGTAATTTGATTAAATTTTATTCAAGATCTCGCCCTGTTGGCTGGCTACTCGAGTGGGAAACAGAACGTGTGCTAAGCTTCAGGAATTGCACGAATGCTGAAATTCGGTTGCTGGGGAAACAAGTTTATTTAAGAGAGACGACAACTTCCGCTTAAGGAGAAGATAATTAATTTCCACGAAAGATGGCGGCAAAAGTTTCTGGCTCGCTGGACGGCCAAATTTAAAGAAAATTTTCTGTAAATTCAATTTGATGTTCAACTTGTTGTAAGTCATTTTGTTGGAACTTTTGCCGTGCGCCTTTGTAAATATTGATTACTTGATAAGCGTTGAGAATCCTTTAATGCCCCCGCATGGCCTTAAAAAGGGAAATGAAAGTGCCAAGCGGCCAGGATGGCTTCCTGGCAATAGTATTGAGATATGGTAGGGGCAGAGTCGGTGCGTTGGTATAAGTCAGAAAAAGTTTTTGTTGCTGTGCAGCTCGAGAAACAGAAGCAAAAAGGCGAAATACCTTCATTAAGCGAATGAAGAAAGCAAAGTAAGTTGAAGAATTTTTAAGTGGTTTAAAAGGGTTTTGTCATACTTTTCATCTGGATACCACCAACATCCTAGGCCGGGGTGGATGCCCAGCCCCCTTTCTAACTGCCGCAAATGGGTGGGCTGACGTTTTGTGTACGCAACGCAAGTCGGCAGCAAGACATTTTAAATGTTTATTAAAACAATAAGGAAATGGTTTGTGCCCAGCTCGAGCAACAAAAAAAGAAACAACAACAAAAAAGGCTAAACAGGAAAAGGAAAAAAAACTGTAGCGAGCGAAAAGGTGAAAAAAGGCAAAGTCAAACATACAAAAGGGGGATTATCCTCACACAAATACTCTCGAAGAAAATGAGAATGTGCTGCCTTTTTTTCCACTTGCTGCCGTTTTGTCTTTCAAATAAGGTAAGCAGACGCCGAGGCATTTAGTGCTGGTCAACCCGCCCATTCAGCTCTCCGGCCGCACATCATCAGGCTAAAAGGATTCGCAAGTCGGGTTTCTAAGCCAGTTTTGTGATGTTCTTCGGTCAGATTCATTAACGTGGCTATTTAGATAAGCGCCCGACCTGCCAAAGCAGCCGCAGCGTCTTTAAGGCCGCCCATCACATCCAGTTCGGATCTTTAAAGTCGCAACGTCAGAAGCCACAACGTCTCCAGCAATCACCAAGCAGCAACGGCCAGTTCGTCTGGCAAACTCATGATTTCTGGCCATCTCTGATGATTTCTTGATATTTATAGAATAACTCAAGTGGCAAATCGTTTACACACTTGAAACGCTGTCCCATTTGTCGCATTCTAAAGCATCAAACATATATCGATGTGTAGCCCCACAGCGAGCGGGGCCAGCTCACCCTCACCCGCCCAATCGATGGCTAAAAAACTGTTTTCATTTCGTTTTGACCAAAAACGTTTTCGATTTTTGACCATCGTCTGGTCGGTCACACATCACAACATTTTCAATGGAGTGGGTGTGGGCGAGGGCATGGGCGTGGGCGTAGACGTGGACGTCGGCCTGAAAATCAGTATTTTACGCAAGAGCGCATTTTTGTCAAGACATAATTCCATGGGATTTATTTGTGTATGCCATTTTTTTTCCTTTACATTTTTTCTTCTTTTTTTCTGTTTGGATTCTCTTTTTTTTTTTTCATTTCGATTCTGTTTCTGCTTCCCACACCCCTCTCAATTGTTTTTTATAGTCCCTGCCCCCCAGAGCCGGCTCTCTGTCCATGTGTTCAGCGTGTCCAGTGGGTCAGCTTATGCGTGTGTTGGCAGTTTTGGACCTAAAATCACTAGTTTCTGAATTATTATGGAAAGCACAAAATGAATGTTCAGGCCATTTATATTTATAACCGAGTTTTGTCCGCTTCACCGAATTTATTACACAAAACTTTTGTCCGCTATTTTGTATTTCCAATGAAATTAGCTTGAACTCGAAGCGAGCTTCAAAGAGCAATTTTAAAATACTTGACTTTGTTTGGCTTTTCAAATCACTAAAAAATGTAAAAAATAAATTACAAAGTCAAAATAGCTAAAATAAATACAAATTATGTTTTGTTTAATTTTTAATGAATTCTACTTTATATTCTAAAATATTTGTGTATGCTTTTTTTTAATTCTATTTTTATTTTTATTTATTTATTTTTTATTCTCAAGTCTAACAATGTATACTAGTAATATAGTTATATATCGTATATGGAAATGATTTTGATGCATTTTACATATATATTTACCTTCTCTTACGCTTCATCTATATTTCTTCTATTCTTTATATGTCGAGTAATAAACTGTCAAACCTCGTTCTTTGCATGAATCTAACAAGTTCAATAAAATCTCTGACATATGCATATGCTCTAAGGAATTTGGTGTTTTAGCTTTCCCTCAGTTCACATTGTTTTTTTTTTCAAATTTAAAAAAGCTTTAAGACGTTTCCACAGTCGTGATTTTAAAAGATTTTTCATTGACAAATACTTTTCTAATTTGAAAAATATGAAGAGCTCATGAAGTTGATATGTATGTAATATGTATACGTCAATATATAAGTATATCAGTCGACCAACTCGAGCTTGAAAGGAATAAAATCAAGCATCAATAGAAACATTCTATATATATTTCATATCATATATA